CGCTGGTGGGTGCCTGGACGAGCGTCCCAGTCTCCACTGGGGTGGCGTCAGGCCGTCTCCTCTGCAACCCACCGTCCTCAGGAGTAGACAAGTGGAAAATGCAGCAGTCGGAACCCTAATCGTGTCCTCGGTGTCAACCCCGTGCTGCTCGAGGCCCGGGAGGCAAGCGCGGAGCAGCGTGGTCTTGTCCTCCGGCTACGTGGGTGCACGGGAGAGGGTGTTCCCCAGATGGCCAGATCATCTTGAGGGGATTGGGCTCTGCTGAGCAGTGCTGGACCCTGCTTCTCCTTGAACCTCACTTCACCCCATCATTGGACTCTGCTTCTCCCTGTCCTTGGACCCTGCTTCTCCCCGTCCTTGGACCCCACTTCTCCCCGTTCTTGGACCCCACGTCTCCCCATTCTTGGACCCTGCTTCTTCCCGTCCTTAGACCCCCGCTTCTTCCCGTCCTTGGACCTTGTTTCTCCCCATCCTTGGACCCCACTTCTCCCCATTGTTGGACCCCACTTCTCCCCATCCTTGGACCCTGCTTCTCCCTGTCCTTAGCCTATAGCCGGTGGGGGCAAAATGCAAGGAGCAGCGCTGGCATTGGGTCTGTTCAGGTGCTGGACACAGGTCCCTCTGGGTTATTGTTGTAGTGGACACGGTGACAGTTGGGTTGGAGTTTGGGTGGAAGTCACTCAAGCTTGGGCAGCCTTGCAGTGCCGGGGAGGGTTGGGATCAGGAGAGAAGGAGATGTTTGAATGTACATGGTGGAGAGCTCCACACAAACAGGTTGGAGCATTTCTCTTGTTCCTGTGGGATGCCATGAAGAGACATGGTGGCCACGGGCACCGTGCTGATGGAGCTCTCTCCCCACCAGGCTCTCTTTGCACTCTCCTCCATGCTGAGACACTTCCCCTACGCCCAGCAGCAGTTCCTCAAGCTGGGCGGCCTCCAGGTCCTCCGGAGCCTCTTCAGGCAGAAGGGGATGGAGACCCTCCATGTCCGGGTGGTGACGCTCCTCTACGACCTCATCGTGGAGAAGGTGAGGAGCCGGGATGGAGGGAACAGGACCCAGCCAGGCCCTCCCCACCTTCACCCCTTCGCTGAGCCGAAGCGGGTGAGGACGAGGGTGAGGAGGGGCCGATCCAGCCTCGGTGCTGGTCCACGTGTCGGAGAGCCCCTCGCTGGAGCCCATGGAGTGGTTCTTCCTTCCAGATACCTCATCCAGCTAAAGCCCGTCTCTCCGTCCATCGCTCCTTGTTTCGGCTGTTTGTCATACTCCAGGGAAGGGAAATCCAATCCGCTTTCCCTCCGTTAACAGCCGATTTTGCCCTGCGGATCATTCCCGCGGCGATCCGCGGGTTTCAGGCGCTGCAGAGGTCCACAGGCCGGGCAGATTCGCGGGTTTATGTTTAAAACAATGATTTTTATTTTATTTTTTTGCTGCCCTTCGGACGGGGAATGCCGCATGCCGATCCCAGCTGCTTCGGGGAGGAGATGGGAGAGCCCGTGGTGCCGGGGGGAGCAGGGCTGGGCCCAGCGGGGGGTGGCAGGTTTGGGGTGCAGTGAAGTCACTGTGCTGGAGGCCGGGGCTCGGAGTGGCTTTTCCTGCCACCGTCGTTCCTTCTCAGCCCAAATCCCAGGTGGCAAGAGGTGTCTTGAAAGGTGATGGTGGGAGATTTCCCGTCCTGGTCCCATGGGCACCTTTGTGCTCTCAGCACAATCTCTGCAGAAGGTCCGGATTTGGGGTTTTCTTGGAGCCATCTGGGAGGGGAAGGTCTGGCCATGGCTGCAGGAGACCACGGTGTCCATCTCTTCCGTAGAGCAGCACAAAGCCAAGTGCTGATGTTTGTTGGGTGCCGAAGGAGCCGGTCCAGCAGCCCAAAGCTGCAGATGGAGAGACTTTAGAGGTCTTCTGCTGAACTTCCTTCCCCCTGAGTCCCCTTTGAGGGCTGTGTCATGCTGACCCTCCTGGTCACTGAGTGTCCCGGGATGGGCAACAGGGAACCGGGACCCAAGCTCACCTTGGTTTTTCTGTTGTGACTCACCTTCCAATGCAGGTGGTATGGGACGTGCATCCTAACATCCCATGATGTGTCACCTCCTGCGAGCTGCTGCTCTCCAATAGCGATACTAATCCATGTTCTACCACGTTCCCCCAGATGCTGCTTGAGGACTCACAGCACGGAGAGCAAATGGAAGAGAAAATCCAGCAATACCGGCAAGTCAAGCTGGTCCCAGCGGTGGTGGAGCAGGACTGGTGCGTGGTGGTTTCCAATCTGCTGGCCATGCCAGAGCACGACACGCGGGAGAAGGTCCTCAAGACGGTCGGTGTGCTGATGGCCTTCTGCAAGGAGCGCTACCGGGGGGACCAGGCCCTCAGCACCACCCTCAGCCTCCTGCGCAGCGAGTACGAGGAGCTGGCGGCAGAGGAGCAGAGGGAAGGGGACATGGATGGCTATTTCGGAGAACTCCTGGGCTCTGTGAACTCTATCATTGAGGAGTTACGATGACAAGAGCTGGAGATTTGGGTCAATTCCAGACAATTTAGGGCAACGGTGTTGGTTTTGATGGTACCCATGGAAATGGACTTTTGAATAAAGTGCTGGGCTCAAGGAGATGCCACCACGGGGTGCGTGCCAATGGCTGTGTTAGTGACACATGGAGGGGGACAGGAATGGGGGGGGAGTGGGTTTTATTGGATGAGGTTCTGCTGGGAAAGCAGAGGTACATGCCTTGAAGGGAAGCAGGGGGTTTGAGGGGATATTGGTCATCACCTGCCACCCGTGGTCCTGGAACCACAGGGGTGTGTGGTGTCAGTCCATCTGGGGATGATATGGAGGAGGAAGTGTCTGGTCCTGCAGCTGGGATGGGATGGGATGGCGTGGGACAGAGGTATGTGCCTCATCAGGGCAGAGATATGGAGCAGGACCCACACTCGTGGGACCTGGGGGCTCAGCACCTACAGCCCCTGTCTCCATGAGGTGCTGTGCCAGTGCCAGTGTCCCAGGGTGGCACAGGGTGGGCACACTCGGCGGGGAAGGGTGATCCGTTTCTTTGCCCATCACACCCAGAGCCGGAGCTGTGTCGTGGCAGTGCCAGCTGGGAGCACACGGCCCGTGGATGTGCCATCTGACAATGAGGTC